GCTCTGGACAGAAAATTATGGTAGTGGAAGAGAAAAAGAAAGGGTAGAAGCCCCAGAGGAGATGCAGAGGAGCAGAGATGGGGTGAGAGCACAGCCCAGTTGTATTTGCTTTAATTTCTGCCATTGCATTTACCCCAAGGGGAGCCACTCCGGTTGGGTACCAGGTCAGATCTACAAAGCACAGTGGACTAAAGGTGAGAAGCATTGTACTCACAATTACTGGGATATAAGCACCCAGGTTGTACCCAAGTTTGCTGCATGATTCCCAGCCAGCATGTCCAAAGGGCTACTCACCAGCTCCTGGGTCTTCAAACACCATCCTCCTGATTTCAGCTCCATCAGAATATTCCCTCTCCTTGCTGCTCCTTCACCAGAAAGCTAAAGTCTCAAGGGACATCCTGAAAGCCCCTGAAATAACCTTCTCCCAGCTGAAGAAGCCATCCCTCCACCCCACTGAATTGCTCCCAGCTGCCAGGAGGGAGGATCATGAATGACTGATGTTGGCTGAGTAAATAGGTAGATGGACAGGCAGACAGATGGAGAGATACACATAGATACATCCGTATACATACACATTGAATTGGATGCATAAAGAGAACTACAGTTTCTGCCCCACAGCTTATTTGCCCTCATATTCTGTTTCTCCCTCACTAAGCTAATAATCTCACTTGTGGAACCTTATCAAGTGATGTTTGACAATCCAGTAACTACATTGCATCCAGGAGTTCTTTGTCCTGCACCATAGCAGCAATATCTCCAAAGAACTCCTGCTACAGCCAGGACCACACCTCACAAATCACACACAAGCATTGGCCAGCTCCTCATCAATCTTCCCCAGGTGTTCCCTCACTCAACCTTACCACCATCATCCCCAGGCTTTCCCTGGCAACTCTTGATTCTCATTCTTTCTTCCTAAACCACCTGCCTGACCATGCTCAGGGGCTTTGACTTTTGTGTGTTCTCCACATTGACACCCTGCTACCGCTTTCCTTTATGCACAAGTCTCAATGGTGCATGGAGATCTTCCTTGAATGTCTCATGAGGTTGTATCCCACAAAGATACTACGTTAGCATCCCTACCTCAGTGTCTGGTTGTCCATCAATCAAACAGGCAAATATATTTGATAGACTATATACCATATAGGTGTAAAACTTATATATATAAACATATAAATTATATATACATATAACATTATGTATAAATATATTTATATATTATATATTACATATATAATATATAAAAAATCTATGTCAATATATTATATATAATACATAAAATGTATCTAAACCATTACATTTTGGATGTAAAATACATAAAATCAGCATTCTCTATTCCTTTTCCCTATCACCACAGCATGAAGTTACTTTTCTCCAGGAGCTCTTTCCTGGTACCCAAAGAAATTCCCTTGAAACATTTTCTGAAGAGAAAATGTAATTTCTCAAGAGAATAAGTTTTTAATAGAATAAGTTTTTAACTGAAATTGCCTGCTGTATTTGAAGAGAGTTGATAAATCATTACAAAAGAGTGAAACATTTCCCTGCATTGAATCATTTTGTAGTGAAAAAGATTCATTTTACCATAGCTTCCGTTTTGGACAACTTTTGGGGGGTGCTTTTATCTAACTCTCACATGAAAAACACTGTTTGCTAGCAAACCCCTCCTACTTTTCAGTTTAAAACTCACTTCTAAAAGCACTGAATGCATTTTTAATTCCTATTTTGGGTAATAGCTCATGCTTAGCACTGCACTGACAAAGCTACATGCCTTCCAGTGTGGAGCTGGCTGGCGTCCAGGCAGCTGAGGGCATGGGCAGCAAAGGTCATGTCTGCTTGAAAAGACCACACAGCCATCCCCTGAAATCCCTCTGGGAAGCGGTTTCTCAGCCTAAATGCACAAGGTGGTGTGAAGAAACCCCAAACCCAACCCCTTCCTGAAATAGCTTTGATAATCTTCCACAGACAGGAGCTTCCAGTATAGAAAGGGGCCTACAAGGATGCTGGAGAGGGATTCTTCATCAGGGACTGTAGTGATAGGACAAGGGGTGATGGGTTTAAACTGAAAGAGGGGAAGTTCAGGTTAGATATAAGGAAGAAGTTCTTTACTATGAGGGTGGTGAGGTGCTGGAACAGGGTACCCAAAGAAGTGATAAATGCTCCATCCCTGGCAGTGTTCAAGGCCAGGTTGGACAGAGCTTTGGGTAATATGGTCCAGTGTGAGGTGTCCCTGCCATTGGCAGGGAGGTGGAACTGGATGATCTTAAGGTCCTCCTATTCCATGATTCTCCATCCTCCCTGGCTTTTCCCTACATCCCATCAGGCTCCCGGTGAACCCTTGCAGTGGTGGGAAGTGCTGCGTGACAGCACCATGTAAGCACATCACCATTGGTGTGTCTGCAGCAGCACACTGATGTTTAGGTGTTTAACCTTCCTCTCCCAGCCTGAAAAGGGGTTCCCAGACCAGGGGCCACGGAGCTGCTCTGGGTGCACAGGCCACTTCACAGTGGCATTTGAAGTGCTTGAATGCAGCCCGGAGAGCTAAGTGCCTTCTCCAGGGCAGCACACGTGGTCCCCACACAGAGCCAGGAGCTTCTGATAGGCACGCGAGTGGCTTCCCAAACGCCTGTGCTGAGCTGGCACCATCATGCTCCTCCAAAGCCCTTTTGGGCTGGGAAAGCACAGTAAGTGTCACAAGCTGAGGGGGAAAAGATTTTCAAAATGGTCTCTCTCTATTGCTGCCCTGAAGTCCTCTGTTTTGGGTCAAAAAAAAGGAAAAGTTGGTATTTCCCAACTTGATTCACACCCCCACCAACAAAAACTTGCTGTGCATAGAAAGCTGCATCCCACTCTTCTCCTCCCAGGAGCATTTATGAGCCCCCTGCTCTGAACCATCACTGGAGCTGCCTGAAATCCTTTTGCTGCCACAACAATCTGAACCTGTTTGGGATGTTTGAGCACAAAGAATTGTCTAGAAAAAGGGGTGGAAAATAACCCACCTCTGTTTCTGAGCAGCTTTAATACATAGCCAAAGGAGACCAGCTCCTCTAAAACCAAGCCTGTGGTGTCTAAAGTGTTAGCCACTTGAGATAGCACAGAAAAGTCATGGTCCTTTTTATATCTATTGCCTAGTTCTGGAAACCATCCTGTGAGTAGCCACTTGGACTTTAATAGGATGAATCACTGTTAAAACCATCATGTGCTTATAAATGTTTACATGAGTGGGCCTAAATGGAGATACCACAGGGAGGGGAGGGAGAGGAGCAGGGAAACCAAGCTTAAAGCTGCAGCCATTGCTAAGAGACACTTGCCTGGAGGGTTTCAGACCTGCTGCTTCTTGATTTGAAGTCAAACTGCCCCCCCAGGCACAGAATTACTAACCCCAGCCCGTGGGAGGTACCCAGAAGTGATGTCTTCTGCTAATAAATGACACCAGTAGCAGTAGTGCCTGATGCAGGGGTAGTAGCAATGGTCAAGAGGTAAGTCATTCAGGGGAATAAACATCTCCCAGCATTTGGGAGTCGCAGGGATATTCATGTTTTGGGAAGGATTCATGGAAGGGTCTAAACCTGCAATGAGAAGCCCACGTTCATCCAAAAGAAATCACTGAGAAGCAGTAAAGAGCAGCCTGACGGTGCCTGTGCCCTGAAGAGCATCCAAAGCAAAAGTACATACAGATAGAATAGTTAGGGCTGGAAAGGACTTTAAGATCATCTTGTTCCCTCCAGTAAATGACATTATCATCATCCCCAGTCATTAATCTGCTATGTCTGTCTTGGTTTATCCTGTATTCAAGGCATCACGTTGTGTACGTGAGATCAATTCTAGCCTTAAATCAAAGCTTAGGAAACTTTTTGACACCATTTCTTACAAGAACATGTTAGTTTAGAACAACTCACTCAGATAGGCAGGGTGGGCTTAAGGGCATGGTAAAAAAAGCTCCTCTGGGTTAGTGGTAAGGTTCCCACCAGCTTCAGGAGCTTTCAGATCAAGCCTCCTATGAGATAAACCTTAGGCCCCTACCAGACTTCCCTGGCATGGGATCTGGGAGGTTTGCCGTTAGCTTTGAGACTTTGAATCGGGGCCAAGTGATTGCAGCTCTTGGTTTAGGGGAAAAGGAAACAAAGGAACTATGAGCTTAAAGGATTAAAAGGAAGAGCTAAAAATAAAGCATCAGCAATGCCAGACCCCCAAATTTACTGCTTTCCTTGCAAAGAGGATTGGTTTTCCTGTTGTTTTACTGAGGGGAATCAGGCTTCTGCATGACTTGGAAGAGCAGGACACCAACAGAAAGCTTTGTGATATTATTCTCTGAGACCAGCGTTGTTCCTGTTGCTTTTCCTGCAAGTCATCATCTGGCTAAACATGGAGAAGAAAAAAATGATTCAGCCTTTTCCTGGCGAGCATCTTAGCTACCTCAATGAAGAATTACCCATCAAATTAAAGAGTCCAAAGATTAATATGAAAATATATGGGGCATGATTTCTACTTGTGCAGCCTATGATGGTAACCTAAAAACAAACAGCCCTGCCTTTATGTTTTCCTGCATTGCTGTCCATCTCCTGCCACCGTTGCCTTCAGCTCTACATCGTCCTTTCTGTTTCTGTATCATCCAGAGATGATATTTGGGAAACAGGGGTGAAAAAGAGGGTGTGTGAGCAGTAAGCTGGGAGACACCAAGATGGTTGGAAGGATGTGGGGTGGGAGGATAACAATGGGAGGGAGAGTTACATGGATGCTGCTGCTCTTGAGATGGGGAAAGGCAGTCCCACAGGTACCATGGGGTGGAGGTATATTGTCACTTACTTATAAATTGGGAACTAGACATGGTTTCAGCTGCAGAGGCTCCAACACTGCAGCAATCCCAGCTCCTGGGTGAGCATCACCCCAGTAGTCATGAGATGTTAGCAGAGCACCTACGGAGCTTTTGAGCTTCACTTGCTGTTGACATCCAAATCCAATGCTGTGGGAGGCCTGGCTCATAGCAAGGATTACCAAAATCCTACCTGATCCTTTGGACCAAGAATTCCAGTTTTCAGTCTAGCTGATCCTGCCTTGGGGCCTGGATAACCTTTTGGGGTCCTTTGGATCCTATCTCCCATACAGTCCCTTTCCAGGTCACCCCACCACAGATGAAGAACAGAAGCAGGTGCCACAAGGACCCCATTCATCCAGTTATGGCTCAATGAGGGATTTTTCTGGGAATGAAAGAACAGCAGAGAACCATGTTCAAACCTTTCCTGAGCAGATAGCTCACTCCTGAGAGGGAGCCCAGCTCTTGGACCTACAAAACTATACACACACAGATATGTTACATATTTATTCGAGGCAGAAATTGGCCAGGAAATGGCTATAAAACACACATTTTGAATAAAAGGAGGGAGATTTATGGCTCTTTTGCGAATCTGAGTCATATCTTTCTGCATCCCCCAGGCAGGAATACTCTAATCACTAACATACTCCAAACATGTACGCACAGTGGGCCGAGAATTGCTTCCTTCTGGCCACAGCTCCAGCTAAAGACGTGATAGGGATTGAGCTACTTTATCTGACAGTTGGTAAATGAATTGCCAATTCATTCTGAGCTCGGAGGGGGATTTTTTCCCCTTTCAAAAAAAGGGTCCTTTTATATATGTCTTTGATCAGTCAGGGCCTTGACAAATTATTTTCCAAGGAATTTCTTGAGCCCTAATGCCATGAGGAGGGAGAGAAAAAAAAAAAGCCAAACTGGATTTGCTCTCAAAGAAAAGCTTTTATGTCTCAAAAATCACAGCAATGTAAGGGGTTTTCCTCCATTTCCCCTCATCTCCTTCGCTTCAAGAAATGGAGGCAGGTAGCCTGAAGAGTTTTTCATCCCACCTACAGGCAGGATGCAGATGGGAAGGAAGCATGGCCAGGTCTCCCAGCCCGATTCCTCCCCAGCATGGAGGAGCACCATGAACTCTAGCACAGACTGAACGGAAAGGTCATGGTCATCAATGACACTGATAAAGAGGCCCTTCAGCGCTGGTATGAGCAATGGGAGCAGAGAGCAGCTCAGGGCTGTGTCACCAAGAAGCTGCTTTCCTACCACATTAAGCACTTTGGAAAGGTTGGGATACAAGAGAGCATCTCCCTCTGGCACTGCTGGCATCACTCCTAAGTGTGAGGATAAAGCAGTGTTTGCTTGTCTTTTCCCAAGCAAAGGGAATGGGGGGGAGAGGTTTCCTGGGTTTGCCACTTTACTCTTTTTATCCTATCATTTAATCCCTTTTCTCCAGGCAAACGTCATGTCCTTGATTGAATCCCAAGTGGTCCAGGCAATGAGTTGCACAAGCCAAGTCTGCGCTTTCTATTACCATTAATGCACAAATAACTCATCCCCTCGTTATCCCACCCATCTGTCCTGCAGGAGGGCAGGCACCCAACAGCACAGGATTCAATTAATGCTTTTCCACTACACTGAACTTCATCAGGATGGCTCCAACTCAAAATAAAACCAAACCCACAAAACCTTTTATCCAGCCCTGCATGGGAACATATGTAACCTGTCTACAGGAATCCTCCTACTAGAATCCCAATAGCAGCCCCACTGCAGGCAAGAGTGATGGATAAAGCCTTTTGGCTAGGGGCTAGCTGGGCCTAAGAGTACGTTGCAGCTTAATCTTCTAAAGAAATTAGCCTAACCAAATCACTGCAGCTGACTCCTGGGGATTTTTCACCTTCATAAGTGAAATCCAAGCACCTAAAGAATTAAAGATTTCAGGTTGAATATTGTAGAGGGTCCTCAGTATGAAGACACTGGGCTTGAAGAGATTTTCAAGCTCATTCACTTTTTAAATAGTACCTGTTAAACTTCTCCTGGCTCACAAAGCCTCCAGATTTGGCTTCAGATTAAGCCTTAATAGAGGTTATATATAGCTGCAGCTCCACCTCGGCTAGCCGCACCTCTCATACACAGGGCTGCCTCTCTTGCTCTTGGAAATCGATCCTCCTGGAAAGAGCAGCAGCTGTCTGCCAACCAGGAATAGGAGACAGAGCCACAGATGGACTCAGCTAACGAACCAGGATGTTCCTGCCCCATCCATCAGTAAGTGATCGAGTTGTTAAAGTTGTCCTAAAAGCTGCCATGATCAGATGAGATCTCACACACAGCTTTCCTGTACTTTATTAACAGCTGTGTAAATACGAGCAGAACCCAGGCAAACCAACATTGAAAATAATCCCATATAAGGATCAGCAATACCCTGAGATATGGAGGTAATCCTGTTCAGACCAAGAGCTCACTTCCTTACAGGCAAGAGTCTTCAAATATTGGCATGGACTGAACCACAGTGTCTGAAAGACAGACGTTAAGAAAATACTTCAGGCTTTCTTTGGATTGATGGGGTTTTAATGCTATAGCACAGCTAGGAATGAGGTGGCCCTTTTGGTTCCTAGTGCTGACATTGCCATGTTTTGTTATTCTTTTAAATACTGATCAGAGCTGAGCGACATTTTGGGATGTTGGGGTGGCTTGAGGTGAGAATTGTCTTTTTTCTACAAATAGCTACATCAAGTTGTCCTTACAAAAGGATTCAACAACCACTATAAGACCTACCGCACCTCCCATCCCAAAGGTAATGTTCTATGGCAAAGCATAACAGCTTTGATGCTTCCTCTCCTAGGAGACACTTTACATAGAGATACACTTTATCGTTTCAGGTGATTTGTTTACAGAGGGAAAAGTACAATTAGAATAACAGACTGGTTTGGGTTGGAAAGGACCTTAAGATCATCTAGTTCCAACCCCATGCCATCGGCAGGGATGCCTCACACTAGACCATGTCTCCAAAGGCTCTGTCCAACCTGGCCTTGAACACTGCCAGGGATGGAGCATTTACCACTTCTTTGGGCAACCTGTGCCAGCATCTCACCACCCTCACAGTAAAGAACTTCTTCCTTAGGTCTAACTTGAACTTACCCTGTTTCAGATTAAACCCATCACCTCTTGTCCTGTCACTACAGTTCCTGATTATTTCTTAGTAAGCTAAGCAAATTATGTTCTTTAAGCCTAAGCAGCATTTTGGTGCTGGCTCAATGCACCCAAAAAGAGTAGTTATCCACGCTGATCCAACAGTGGTTATAATTTCCTCTGCAAAGTGGTTTTGGAGGCTTGGAATGTCACCCAGCAGCCTCATCTGTGGCCCACGGCCCTGGCTATGCAGTGCTGCCTCCTTCCCTCACTGCACAGCCTCAGTGTAGGACACTTGGACATGAACCAAAACAGAACCTCATTACTTGCTCCCCATGTAGGCAAGTGCTGCAGTCACTGCCAAGCTGGGCTCGTCATCACCACCTTGACTGGCATTGACCCAATAGCAATACTGGTGCCTGTCACTCAATGAGGCTGTTAAAGTGCCTGTCCAGGCACACGCACCCATAACTCACTGACCAGCTCCAGACTGCTTACAGCATCCTGGACCATCCGTGCTCCACTGACCCTCTGCCTTCAATTAAAAGCTCGCAGAGTCTGGAATTCCCTCTCCTTCCCTGCCTAGGAGCACTGAACGTCAAGCTCAGGCAGAATAGCCAACACTACTTGAACAGCAGCAAATACATCATCCTAACTCAGCTTTTCAACCAGGCTTCAGCTAGACTTGCTTTCCCCAGATACATGCTCCACAAAAACCACCCTGTGTTTTAGTGGGCTGCAGTGTTTCCAATTAAAAGCTCTGATGAAGAAGGTGCATGCAGATGCCCTCAGGTTTACAGTGATCTTGAGACAGAAAATACTGGGGGACAACCCCCCAGCCTAAGTTTCTGATGAAGATCAGGACCTGCAACTGCCTTTGACAGTCACCTATAGTGTCCTCCAAGTCCAAATTGGTGAGGTTTGGACTGGACAAGTAGACAACAAGGTGGGTGGAAAATTGGCTGGACCATCACATGCAAAGGGTGACCACCCACAGCAAAACATCCAGATGTTTGTTGGCTACAAGCAGCATCGCTCAAGGGTCACTACTGGCACCAATGCTTCCAAATACCTTCTTATATTAAAGACCGGGGTGATGGGACAGAGCACACGCTCACCAAGTTCACAGATGATACCAAACTGAGGGAGCAGCCAGTACACTGGAAGGAAGAGATGCTACTCAAACAGACCCCAACAAGCTGGAGAAGTGGGAAAGCAGGAACCTCACCAAGCTCAAAGGCAAAGCCCTGCCTCTGGCATGGATAATCCCATCCATCCAACAGGTGGGGGCTAGAAAGCAGCTTTGTAGCAAAGGACCTGGGCGTTTTGGTGAGCAACAACTTGAACAGGAGCCAACCATGCAGCCTTGCAGCAAAGAGCAGCTGCACCCCAAACTGGATGAGCAGAACCGAAGCAGCAGGTCCAAGGGTGTGATCATAAAGGATGTCTTGGATGTCCAGACAGCAAGGGCAGCAAAGGGGGAAATAATGCTCCATCGTGACCACCTCAACACCTTCTGATGAGAATGTTTCCCTAAAATCCCAGGAGCAAACCCCAAAATTCTGGTTCATTACAGCCCAAGGCTAAGCAAAAGCTGAAGTGAAATACTGATGACTTTGGGATCCCTAGAGCTAGCAATAAGGATACCCCAACAGCACAAAGCCCTGCAGTGATACAGACACACAGGAGATCTCCACGTGCCAGATCACATAAAATAGAGGAAGAGCAGCAGCAGATTATTATCATCATGATAATAAAAATTATAGTACATTTGTTTGGCTTTATGCAACAGAAACATCTCAACACCAGCATTTATAGATGTCCTACTGGAGCCCGCAGTCCCTTACTATTAAAGGGCTCACTATGCCTTACAGCAGGTTTCTGTCCCCTATAATTTAGGGCTGTACTTTCTGTTCATAATCCAAGCAACATGTTTTACCTTGGAGCATATTACAAGTCATTTGTGAGGTCTTAAGTAGAGAGCAAACCCCTCCTGCCTTGTAGCACAGTACACTCCCCTGAGAGCACCGCACAGGTTACATAGAAACCCATTCATAGGGACCATTTTCCATCCCCTCATCACATCCCCAGTTTTTACATACTTGTGCTTAAACGTGCTCCCAACAGCAGCATCAACACTGAACTTACAGCATCACTGAGAACCGCCGATACAAAACCTCCACAACAAAGCCCCACCACTGTCTTCTCTCTGTGGTGGGAGTGTTCATCCAGGTGGAAATGATGCTGGTGAGAAGCCTTGGAGAGTGTCTCCAGCTGCTGCTGCCTAACTCAGGGCAGCTGCAAACCCCACAAGTCTTTCAATGGCAATGAAAGACCAACAATGGCAGTGAAAAAACAATGGCAATGAAATTCCCAATGGGCATTGCCCAGGCATTCCCAGGAGAGGGGCTGCCAGGGCGCTCAAACAAGCATCATTGTCCCACCATCAGCCCTTCTGACTGACAGTAGGTGCATTGAAATGCCTTTATTTACCTCATGGAAGAACCATGGCAGACATTTGTTGACTTTTAACTGTACTTTACAGTAGCTGAATCATAGAATCATAGAATGGTTTGGGTTGGAAAGGACCTTAAGATCATCCAGTCCCAACCCTCTTGCCACGGGCAGGTATGCCTCACACTAGACCATGTCACCCAAGGCTCTGTCCAACCTGGCCTTGAACACTGCCAGGGATGGAGCATTTATGACTTCTCTGAGTATACTCCCATGTGCAGGGTAAAGCCTTCAAAAGCCACAGCAAAGCACAGTCAGACCCATCCGCTGAGGCTGTAGGATTTGTTTCATCCAGCCAAAGGAAGCAGAAGACATCGGAGCCGCCGGGTGTGATGTGTTCCAAGTGAAACACATCAGTATTTCACTCGGAAACGGCTGCTGCAGGTTGACAAATTTCCCTTGAAATTTCAAAAGAGCAAAATCTCCTAAACATAAACAAAATATTTCTACTTTTTGAGGGTGGGAATTTATTCGAGGCACTTTCTGAACCTTTTCCATTCACTTCAAGCATTGACAATTTTATTACTCAAAAAAACACAGCAAAAGTGTTCACTTTTCCAGAGAGAACTCAAAAAACAAGGTGGGTTTTTTTTGTCTGGTGACGAGTTCTAGACCCACCTCCAGACACGTCATTGCTTGTCTCTGTCTGACTTTCCTCTCCAGTAAACCTTCCAACTTTATTATAGAGCCTAAAACCCAATGAAGAACTAAAAACAGGGTGAGGGGGGGTAATGGGGGAACTCAGAATCCCTTGAGAGTCTCGTATAATCACAGGACTCCAGGAACTGGAAACTTGGGGGGGGGAAGGTTAAAGAAAAACCCCAAAACCACTTTTCCAAATCACATGAGACCCATCATAAAATTGCCAGAGTTGGCAGCACCATAAAATCTATGATATTGTGGGCTGGATTTATGAGCAAGAATCCTGAGGCTTTGGGATGCTTTATTCCCTCAGACCCTCAGGGCACAAAGGCAGGTTTAGGGATGGAGCATAGCCTGGAGCAGCACTGAGCAGGCGATGGGTGACTTTGCCCCTCTTGAGCATCCTTGTCTCTAGGACAAACATCACCAATACAGGTCTGATCTCAGTGGGGAAAAGACACCTCCCCAAAAAGACCCAGCATCTTTGCTGTTGAAACTTGAAATGTGGAGGTGAGCTGATAGGGACAAAGAGCTCTCTGTGAGCCTGCTCAGGGCATCTGCAGCCTCCTCAGGTACGAGTCCTGGTAATGCAGGGAGTATTTTAGCCCAGGAAGGCAGCTGAGAAAACAATGCTGTGACCACAGCCTGGGAACTGGCATTCACTCTTCAAGAGATGTTTTTAGCAGAGCTTGGGTTTCTTTCTCTCCTTCTCCTCCTGAAGGAACTGCGCAGCCTGCACTTATTTATTGCAGTTCATCCATAATGCCCTGTTTTTCTTCTGCCTGGGGATGTTTCATGGCTACTCGCTACCGGAGCAGCAAGCTTGCTCCAAGGCTCCTCACCAAAAGGGAGAGGTTCGAGGTACAGAGGTCTTCTGCCTGTGAGGAGGAGGATGGGTCACTGCTGCCTTCACCTGCCACAGCAGCCCTCCTCCTCCACTGGCTTTGCAGCATTCCCTTTGGAGCCCAGCTCCCTCCTCACCCAGGGACATGGTTCACTTCCCAACAAGTAGAGCTCTACTGGATGCTTCCACCATCCCTCTCCCCAGGCCCACAACAGAGCATTCCAGGTCCAGCCCGTTCTCAGCACCCTCAGTGGTGTTTATGGGAAGCCACCAGGCAATGCTGAGGATTGTTTTATGGCTCCTGGGACTTGGAGGCAAGAAGTGGCCATGCTCCATTCCTTTTACCATGCTTGGATGGTCTTCCTCAGGTTTCGAGACCTCTTATGGATGAATTTAACTCTGAATAGGGTGGATTTTGTAACCTCTTTTGTCCAGTTCTTTCAATGACAGTAATTCCTACCTATTTTTTCCCTATTTTTTTGTTTCTTTTAATTATCATCATCATCGTTATCATACTCTGTTAAGGAATAAATCAGTAAGAATAAAGAAAGTAAGAATAAAGGAGAGAAGAATAAAGTCAAGAATAAAGAAGTAAGAATAAAGAAGTAAGAATAAGAAGTAAGAATAAAGTCAGTAAGAATAAAGAAAATCACTTCAGCCTGTTTGTAACAGAAAATCACAACCAAAGGGAGAGAACACCCTGCTTAACAGCTCCCAGTATTGTTTTGCACCAGCTAGGAAGAAGTACAAGCTGTTTCTCAAGGTTCAACATAGGCCAGGCATGTTCACATCCAGGCTGGGATTTACCATGGGCCTTTGAACAAGTCAGTTTTTCTTTCACATCCTGATTCCTCACAGTCCTGCTCATCTAATTGAAAGAGCAGGCTGTGCTTATATGGTACAACTGGGCTCCATCAAGACTAAAGACCAGGAATGCCATACTGAAGCAGTAGCCAGTAACAAACTCTTCAAGAAGAGGAGAAGGCTATATAGCATCTTGCCATCCATCTTTTCCTGCATCCCAGACTTTATTAGTGTGACAGGTCCATCCTCCTGCCACTGATGGCCTCCTTGCTCCTTATGCCATCATGGCTCCACATGCCATGGGGTTCTACCTGGCTTTTCAGCAGCCAAAACCCAGCCATCAGAGCCCATCAGGGCATCACAAGCTCCACCAAAGAGCCTCAGCATTTCCCTGAAGAGACAAAAGAATAATGTGAGGAAATCAGTCAAGTTGAAAACTTGAGGCCTTCCAAAGCTTGAGCAGTGATTAAACATGTGAATTTAGTTTCCTTAATACCCTTTAAGATGCATGACACACATTTCTGGTAAGACCTCTTTACTTCCAGAGTAACCATTGGCCATTTAATTACATGTAAATGACCGTATAGTGATAAGATGATTACATGATCAGCACTGGGATAACAGGGCCTGGGAAGTACAATGCAATTGACAGCTCAATACAGTGTCATTTTTATTCCTTAACTCCAAATGCAATTTACTCATTCATTCATCTTGGCCAGCTGCATATTCGGGAGAGACAGCATGTGATTTACTGAGCAATGCAATGCTTGAGTAATTCCCTGGGGGCGTCTCCATGAAGACAAACAGCTCGGGGTATAACTTGAGGTCCCAGCCATGCCCGCAGAAGGGTTGCATGATGTCTATGTCTCCTTCTGCTGGCAAACGTAGCCGATAGCCAGAGTGAGCTCCTAGGGTAGCATAGCATCATATTGACTCTGTCTAACCCAACATTTATTAAACCCAGTTGTTGCAAGCAGAAGACAGTAAAATCAGAGACAGCTGAGTGATGAAAGCTGTGTTGTAGCCAGCACTGGGATATTCCCAGCAGACACCATCTCCCAGGTCCTGCCTGCCACGGGACAGCAAGGTGGGAGCATCACCTTTGAAGGTGGTGCAAAGCCACGCACTGCAGTGCTGCTGCCACAGCCAGATGGGCTGCTGCTGGGGGGACAGGCTGGGGACACCTCCTCAGCTCATTCCCACCCTCTACTTCTTAGGGAGGCCATGGCTCACCAAGGAGACCTTTTGGCTGGATGCAATCTCTTTATTTCTCTGAAGATGACTTTCCCATCTTGTTTCCAATCCATGTAGCATCCAGCATCCTCCCCTCCTTTGTCAAGGCTGTGACACAGCCTTACACTTCCCCAGGGCCAGGCATCCCCCAACAACCCCTGTATGGGAATGGGAGGTAGCTCAGCCTCCACAAGGGCTTCCTGATGCCACCCACCTGGATTCCTATGGTTGCTTCTAAGTCTGCCTTGATGGGAAAGTAACCCCAAGGAGAGCATATCCCTTGGGGTGAGTCAGGTGGGAAGGACCTGGGGGACCCAGGCAGTTCTGTAGTGGACAAACACCCACCCCTAGACACAGCAGGCTCAAGTTCAACCCATCACTGCTTGACAGCTGGGATGCTTCACCTCCTGCAGTACATCATAAACAGATAAGAAATCAAATGTATGGGTATCAAGCAAAAAGAACTAAAAAAGACCACCTCAAAACATAAAGAAATTAAAACTACGTGGGCAGGTCCCTCGCTGTTGAGTGCATTTGGTATTTATTAGACACAAATTGGCACACAAGAGTATGAAAGCACAGCTAGGTAGGGACCATTGCTTTCTCCTTAGCTACATGGCTTTGGATACCTGTCTACAATCCCTCCCCTGCACATAGCGGCGTTCCCACATGTTCCCACCCGCGTCCTCAGTTGCTGACACATGGATATACCTCTTCTGTTCATTAGAATTACTTTTAATTAAAAATATATGTAAATCATATAGAGTGTGCACAGCTTGGAGAGGAAAAAAGAGAAAGAGAAGAAAGCAAACTTCCATTTCAATCAGAACTGTAACCCCTTTGAATCAGCTGTGTTGTGACAGACTTGAGTTCTTCAAGCTCCCATGTATAAATAAATAGCACCAGGAATTCTTACACCTGAAACACTCTGCAGTAGACATGTTTACTTACACACATTTGCTGTTGCTTCTCTTCTTGCCTCCCCCACTCCCAGCACTTCATGACTGTTTTCTGCTCCTTTTTAAACACATTTACTGAATAATTCACTTCACATACCCAGACCAGTATCGCGTTTTCTTTAGGAGAGGAAGGAAAAGAACACACCATAAAATGAAAGTCCGGGATTGCAAACAAGCATCATCAGCATTTTCATGAGCAAACTTCTTCCCTTCGCTGCCTGCATCCTCTCCCTCCCCTTTCCCATCGTTGCAGCTGGCTCAGAGCCCTGCTTTCCACATGCTGGTAAAATCCAGCAGGAGACAAGCCGTGGATGTTTCTCCATCAGAGGCGGCTGATGGACCGGGAGAGACCAGGAGATGGGAAGGAAGGAAAGAAGAGAGAGAGCATTACACACAAGTGGGAAAGGAGATGAGTTTACGGGGCTGGTTCCTGCAGAGATGTGTTTGAGGCATTCATAAGGAAACACAGCAACCCGCGGGGAGGGCTTCCACTCGTGGTACAACGCCTGGGCGAGGTAGGTACCTGCTTTGTTTATTTGTGGGTTTATAATACCTTTTCCTGTTAAAAAGTAACAACGATAATACTGATTTTAAAAAACAGAAAAAGAATAAAGAAACACCACTCCAAAATCCACCCTTGGTTAAAAAGGGATGGCGTTTTGTTTTTTTTTTTCCTCCTTTTTTTTTTTTGAGAAAATTGAAAGAAAAAATATATATATTATTATTTATTATATAACATTGTCAACATCAACACCACAAAATAAAAGTAACATCCTAGTTGTTTTCGTTCAAGCATTCTGATCGTGTTGAGAAAGGCAGCAGGAGTTTGGTGTCCCTTGGAGAACAAAAAGAGCAGGAGGGCAGGGAAGGGGATAGGGGCACAGAGCTGGCGGTGGCAGCAACACAAACTGGGTGGGGATGGTGGCAGGGGGGGACGTGTGCCAACCTGTTGGGTTTTCCTTTGAAATGAAAGAAAAAGGGATGGAGGAGGGGGGTAAGTCACACCGAAATGGCTGTTTCATCTGTGGCTTCAATCAGTGTCCGTCCCTCTCGAGTGCTATCGGTGAACATTCAGTTAAAGGAGTCTTGCAAAATACTCTCCTTTTTATTATCAACAGGGTTTTTGGGGTTGTTTTCTTTTTCCTTTTCCCATTTTCCTTTTCTTGTTTGCTTTTTTTCCATGGTTAATGCTCTTGCACTTTCCTGACCCCCTTGTTAGCTGTTCTCGCTCCACTCTGGCACCATTCCCACACCATGCACCGAGTGGTATTGGTGGGGAGAAAGGGTTCGAGGCACGCCATGGGAATACAGGAACTCTGCGGGCTGTAAGCTGCTGGGGGGGGACTGGATGCCAGTTTGAGGTCCGCACTGCCGCACGATGGGTTGGTGAGAAACAGAGGTTTGGTGCTGAAACATGCTATGGGTATCTCCTATTTGGGGGGAGGTATGGTTGGCCACGCTGCTGAGCCGGGGCATCAGTGGCCCCGAGGTGAAGTGGGCAGAGAAATGTTGGTAGGGTAACCTGTCCATGGGCTGCATGGCAGACACTGTGCAACTGCTGTAGGATGGCACGCTGGGCCACGTGTTACAGCTGATGTCCTCCAAGCTGGGTACGGGGTCCGTGGGGGGAGCGGAGCTGGCATACATACATGCTTGGCGCTGGGCTGATTCAGTCCTGTATGAAGTGTTCAGTCCCTGCTGTTGGGGGTAACTGGACCTGTAGAAAGGATCCTCATCTGCTGGAGAAGTTTCCATGTAGGGCTTCTTGTAGGGATGCTCGGTGGTGGAACATTCCTCATCTGTTGGGAGATAAAAACTCCTGGTAGCGAACAACAATACGATGCCCTCAGCTGAGCCTCCCTCTCCACAGTCCTCATTTTACCAAGGACACAGCCTGCTCAGAGCTGATCCAAACATGTCTTTCAATTATGGCAGTGTAAATACAGATCCCTTCTTTGGAATCCACCTGAATCAATCCTGCTGAAATCAAGTCTTGCACTGAGTGGGGAAGGGATTAACTAGGAGCTCTGGGAGGAAAATCAAGGCAATAAGATACTGGAGGGATCCCAAGGCTTAGCTTGCTTGATGATACCTTGTACACCCCCCTGAGCTCTTTCGTCTCCCTTCTGCTGCAGCACTTTGACCAGAGGTACAACATCCGCCTGTGGATACAGTGCACCTAACCGAGGTCCCCACTCCCAACTGAGATGCTCAGAGCGGATGTTGCTAACTAAAAGCCTTTTCAATTATTATTTTCACAATAAATGAGACAGGAATGGAGATCACAATAAAAATCCCCCCCGGGAGAGCACCAGCCATGGCACAGTTGAGACAATCAGATTTGGAGTTTTACAGCCCCATTCTTAAGCTGTGCCAAGGAGGGCTGGGCACACAAATCCCATGCAGGGAGCCAAGTGTAACAGCAAAGAAAAGTAAATTTCACAGCTAGAAGCAACAAGGCACAGCTTGCCCAGCCCTTTGTTTCCTGCAGCATCGAGGGCCAAAAGAGGGAAGGAGATAAACAATTTAGGTGAAATCTCTAGGGTGAAGCAAAATGAATAAATGAATATGCCCTTATTTATTCATTTGCAGGGTCATCAAATGAAATCCAGCTTTGCTGGAATGGATGGCAAAGTTCCCAAGGGCAAGCATTTCACCAAGAGATTTTAAGGACAGTGAGGCAGAGGGGAGCTTCTTCCGACCCAGATTAACTTTGCTGCTGCTTCAAGGACAAGATTTCTGGTGCAGGCAGAAACACATCCATCCCACTTCACTTGGAGCCCTACTGGCTGCACCCTTTCCATGGGGGGGGAACTGAAAGACAACCACATGAAATGACCCTTTCTGCATTTTCTCAACCAACACGTTTTGAGCTGCAATTTTTTTCCACCCTGAAAATACAAAGGGAGTAAAAAAAACCCCAAACCAGCTCCACAAAAAAGACTGGAAGCATCCTTCTCCTAAGAAACACTTGCAAAACCACACGTACATGGGTGCTGGGCTGCTCCAAAGCGAGTGCTTATGTCTCACCTTTAGGAGATGCAGATGGGCAGTGTGAGCACCTCTTGCTTCTTGTCAACATACTTATTGCTAGATACAGCCATGTGCTTCCTCCTGGAAGCTGAACCTACTCTGCTTGTAAAATAATCCATTATTCCCTCTCAGGTGTCTGCCAAGCCCAGCTGGAGCAACTGCTGCTGCAGTCTTCTTGACCCAACCACCCCAGAAAACATCAGGTACCGAGGTACACACCATAGGGACCTTCTCCTTGGTGTCCTTTGACTTTGTAATAGACATAAATTGAGCTGGAAAAGCACAGTCCCATTTCATGCTTTCTTCCTGACAACAGCAAAACCTGGCTCCTTTGTCCCAGCAACACAGAGCCTCGATAATCAACTTATCTCCCTCCTCTGCCTTTGCTTAAATTGGGACAGAAAGTAGGATGGGATAAGTGAGCAATGAAGTAATATCTTTAAAACAGCTGGAACAGCAAGCAGATAGGTGCAGAATTGTATCACTCTCCTTCATCAGGGTCATTTTATATAGGAGAGATGGAGAGGATGTTATCCCCTGAAAGCTGGAAGCGCAGGTCTAAGCTCCCTCCTGAACACGGGTCTATCCATCACAGGAGGTACATCTGGAAGAATAGCCTGAGCCCATGCTTTTACAGACAGCCTCAAAGTTTTGGATCCCTGTCCCACCACTGAGTAATAAGAACACTAGGGTGGAAAAACAATGTCTTGTAAAACGAAGCATTGTTCTGCTAATAAAGTTTTCAGCATTAAACCGCATTACTCCGCTGGCATCAGACATCATTGGCTTGGGGTTTGACTGTTTATTTTATTTCTTTTTTTTTTAATACACAACACAAAGTGGTCAAACTCTGGTTTTTGGTTGTGTAAAACTGCGCCTGACTTACAACCTCAGGTTGCTGATTTTTCCATCGAGCCCAGACATCCCGCTGCCGGCCCCAGCCCAGCCAGAGCCACAACATTATGGATCCGCTTCCAGGATTCATTGCAGGTGAAGGGACAAAACCAAAACCAACCCAAATTGCAGTGGAAACCCTGTAGGTGCTCTCTCGTCTTCCATAAGTTGTTGTGATGGCTTTGTTGGCCTCTCTGGATCCAACCCCACTGATGTTACATCAGGAAAGGGTATCATCAGCTCCAAGCTGTAAGATGTGTAAGGACACCGTACCCATCTCCAAAGTGACAGTCACTAGTGAAGGATTACAGTCTATCCTAACAGCTTCTGTCTGCCCTCTTGCCCCTCTTTCTGATGAATTTCCCATCTACATAACTTCAGAGTGCTGGATAAGGAAGAGAACAGTCCACCTCCATCATCGCATGGGATGATACAGACCAGAGATGCTCAGCTGGTGCCAGCAGGTGCATTTACACTGGTCCAAGCTCTCTGAAAATACAAAGTCTGATCTGACACTGTCCCACCACTCCTTGCAGAGGAGACCAGAGTCAGCACACAGCAGGCAAAGTGCCTCCCTATGGTATATGGAACAGATCTGGGAGTGGAAAGGGGACATATGCAAGGAAGAGGGTGGCAAAAGGAGGACAAGTCAAACAGAGCTCTCTCACAATGCTGAAGGCTGCTGTTTAAATTCATCCCCACCTGCTCTGGAGCCTGAACAGTCTGTGCCAAGGCCATAATCCTCTCCCTGAAGATCCTCTCGCCTCCTCGGCATCAGTGTGAGCAGGACATAGGAGATAACTGGTCTGCTCTGGGTTTGATTCCTGATGTTGATTCACTGATAGCACTTCATTATCCCTTTCCTGTCGCCACTGAGCCCTCAGAGGTGCTGGGCACTTCTGGGGGATGCTGACCACCCTCTCCTTTTGTTGCTATTCTTGAAAGCCAAGGGTGGCAATCAGCTCTTGTGACCAGTCCCTCGATACTGCGCAAGCCTCAGAAAGCAAAAGGTTCTGCCAAGCAGGAGGAGCTGCCAGCACTTGGGAGAAGCTGCTCCAAAGTGGATCCAAGGAAAACGGAGCCTGCAGAATGGGGTGGAAACTGGCGCTCTCACAAGGAATTTGATGATCTATCTAATGAAGGAGCTTGAGCGAGAGGATAAGCAGTTCCAAGATTTCCGGTATTTACTACTTCCAGCTGGGTTGTAAATACCACACAAATGGCTTTTTAAATGGAATTTTCTCAATTCCATCCAAAAAGAAATGCAAACATGTAAAATCTTGGGACTAGGGGGTGCACTGGGCCCACCTCTTCCCCTGGTGTAAATCAAAAGAGCTCCCTTTCCAATTCACGACAATCAGCTCCCCAGGACAGAAGACAATGAAGAATGGAACCAAACTGGTTTGGTTTTTAAAGTTCACCCACACTTCCAGTGCATGACAGTAGGTTCATTCCCACTTTGTGAGGGAGACACAATGGGTGATTATCACTGACATTGTTGGTTTATCTTGTCTGGTTTCTAGTATGAAACTAACATGAGCCTGAATAGCCAATACCAGCATGCAAAACTGACGAGGGCTGTCAAAGAAGACATGGAAAATGCAGATTCAACCCAAATTAACATCCCTAGAGGGCAAATGAGTCTTACATCATCGGACATGAAACCTAAGACACCCTGGTTATTTCAGCAATCACACAGTTTGTGATATGTCTGCATTACATTGCAGGGAAACACAACAGAATGGGTTGTGGGGTAGAGACAATCCAACACCAAAAGCTGGAACCTCTTCCAGGGAGGCAGTAAGTTGCCAGCACTGCCTGCAGAGGCACAGGAGGCACCTCCTGATGGGAGAATGGGATGAAGCCATTGAAATGAAGCCATTGAAACTAGAGTGCCACAAGCAACGTGGCTGCACAGCAAGAGCTGAGGGCACACCAGTCCTCAGGTATTTCCCCACCATGCAGGCAGGCTCTTCTTCAACCCTTGGTGTCCCAGCAGCTACCTTGCTCTGGGTTCCACTGCATCTACCCAAGCAGCAAACAGCTCCAGCTATAGCATAGCTCAAGCCTTGGCCAACTCATTGCATCTCTTAACATCAGCAGGACAAGCAGCATGTCCTCCAAAAAGAGATCCCATACCTGACTTTTGCCTTACAGGTTCTTTGAATGAAGCAAAAGCTGGGTGGGATGAGGAAGAAATGAGTACAGTCAACAAAGAGGTCTATCCACCTTGACAGTGCAGGCTCTTGAGGAGAATGGGGAAAGGCATTGCTGTATCTCCACCAACCTCATCAGACCAGGAAGGAGATGAAAGATACATTCTTCCCCATGGTCATGTCCAAGCTAGGTGGCTGAAGGATACGGTCCTCACTGGTTGGAGCCGGTGGGTTCTGCCACGTCCCTCTTCTCCCTCAAGAACAGTGCCAACATGACAACTTTTATAACCTCCCCAGGGAGAGGCTGATCCAGTCGCCTCCTGCTCAGCATCACAAGCATCCCAGAAGTCTGCCAAGTGGTTGAGATTGTGTAAGGCTGGGAGGGAGCAGAGGTTTAAAGGGATGGCTTTTTAGTTCACAGGAAATCTGAGGGAGCGGATAACACAAGGGAAAACAAGCCCCAATGCCTTAATTGGGACGTGGGGCTAAAATGAAAGACAGAAAAGCAAGCTGCCTGCTGGTAAGTCCTTTTGGGCTTCTCCAAGCACAACAATGAGAGAGGGAGAGGTGGAGAACAAGTAGGAAAAAAAGCAAACCTCTAACTGGTCTTTGTTGCAGCCTAAAAATCCACATCAAGAACTGAGACCACTCCCTGGTAGGATCCAGGGTTGGAGTTAATCCATCCTCTCAAGACCAGCAACCTTGTGAAATGTCATGAGAAACCTCAGTGTGGAGCAGGGATACAATGCAGGATGATTCTTGCCTTGAGGACCTCCATTCCTGAGGATCCATCATGTTCAGAAGGTCTCTGGAGCAGCTACCCCATTGCACCATGCTGGGGTTATTCCCAATGTTACAACCCCACACTCCCACCTGGGCAGCAGGAATGCCAGATTCAGAGCTCTGGGCTGTGTCCTTCCTTCCTTCCTAACCCAGAAGAACATCACCTCCCTGAAACAGAGGAGCCTTCAGAGATAACACCCCCTCGCAGCCCCGCTGCTCTCCCCTAATGTAACTCCATATCAGATCTCCAGAGTGAATCCATCTTCACTTGACAGCTAAGAACAACACTGTCAACCACAGAGCTAAAGCTTTGTCTTAGGTCACCAAGGAAGTAGAAGCTGAAAAAGGTGACTTCAAGTTACTTGAATAGAGACCTATTCTTAACTGAGCCGAAACCAAGACTTGACCTGCTGATTGAAAAGGATACAGAGAAACATCATGAGATGTCAAAGCTGGAAGGAGCCGTATCTGAGACACTATCTTGGAAATGGTATTTGCTACAGCAGATACAGACACCAGCTGGTCTCAAATCCAGCTGAATTGCCCTCTGCCCCTGCAAGCACTTCTCCATCCCTACAGCCTTGCAAAAAGGAAATAAGCCATTTGAGATAAATCCTAAACTGACTGAAGAGGAGTCAGTGTTTGGGGACTTGATGATCCAATGCAATCAATAAAGCTTCCAGTCCAGAAAACAGACAGAGGTGCATTAGGAGTGAACATACTCTTGCTTTCACTTTTTCTTAGATGGTGACGCTTGGTGAAAGTTATGCAGAAAAGTAGGAAAGCACGAGAACTCTGAAGGAAAACTTGATATTACACTTAGGAAGGAGAGGCTGGAAAAGGAAGAAAAAGAAGAATATTATAGGCAAGGTTATTTTCCCCAAGTTCAATAAAGACCCTTGCTCAGTGCTAGAAGAAAGTGCCACGCTCAGCCTGAGTTTGAGAGGATGCGTTGGATCACGTTCCGATTTATCTGCACAGAATTTCTCATCTCTAGTGACTTCTCTTTTTTCCTCCTTTTTTAATTAATTTCACTTTGCAAAGAGCTGCTTGGCAGCTTACGTTGGCTCTCTGTTTCCCATTAACTTTGTGTTTCTTTTCTTTAAGCCCGGGTGGCTGTTTTCGATTTGCTGGATGCATGGGAAGGGGGGAAAAAGGCACAGGGAGGAAAGCAGAGTGAGACATCCAGCTTCACGGAAGAAGTCGGTGGTATCGGACAGGACACTGCTTCTCTTTGATTAAAGCATTTGGCGGCTTTGATAAAAGGCTCTTAACTGCTTGTGCCACTCAAGCCATTGGAGAGATAATGAGGGGCCATCGGCCATACAGACAAGGAATCCCTTTGCCAGTTCTCCTGCACTTTCGCAAGGGCCACGCAGGCCAAAAAGGGGCCAGGGAGCTTCTTACAGGGCAGATAGTCGTCTCTTTTGTGACAATAAGAGGAAGTGAGATAATTGGGGGATTGAGGGAAACCACCCATGGAGACACCACTTAGTGGGAATCCCAAAACTGGAAGGAAACCTCTGTTGATTCCTTATCACGTTACAATGTGGAGGGGAATGATGAATTGCTCTGCGGTGCAGGGACATGCAGCAGTCAGAGATTGTCCAAAGGGTTTGTTGTCATTTGGGCCAGCTTGTTTTGGTTAGGTTTTGCAGAGGGGAAGAGGAGCGGGGAAAACTCAGATCCCAGGGCAAAGGAGCACCAAGGATGGATCACAGGCTGAGGGACACCAAGGGTGAATGGGATCTGCCTTTTCATCACCAACAATGGGGCATTGCAGCAACCCAGTTGTGTCAGAGCTCCTCAGCAAGGGCTATTTACCCCATCTCTGACCTTAGGGGACACTGGGAAGCCACTGCAAATCTTTTTCCCCACCAAACAAAATGATGATGTCTAGCATCACCATTTCCAACCACAGCTTTGCTATATTCCATAGGAGCACACGGTTCACCTGGTCAGCTGAAGGGGGGTCAGAAAATGAGGCCTCCATTCATCACTGTTTAGCTCAATCTCAGGAAAATATGAAGATTTCTCAATTTTTTTGCATTTGTATTTGTACACAACACACAGGTCACAACATCCAGGGGATTCACCAAGGATGGGAGAGAGATTTCCACTGCCCTCCTGCCTCATCTGCCAGCACTTCCCAGCATCCACTACCTTAGCCCGTGTGTCTACACTGCACATCCCAGTGCCCCAGGGGTTATGTTACTAAAAATAATGACATGTGGCTGACTGATAGGACCGTGCAGGGAAGCAGGAAGGGATCTGCTGTGGGGACAGGCTACCAGGCTGGAGAAATTCTTGGTGCATTCAAATGCCACAGTGCATGTTGACTCCTGCTAGCTTTTCCTGTGCCACGTAGACTAAATCCTGATAAAGGAGAACTAGGATAGGCTGTAGCCATCTCCTGTCCACCCCATGGGGTTGCATTCAACCTTGGAAACTCCCTATATTCTTCTGAGTGGTTGGGGTAGAGCTTGATCTAAGGCTTTTGCTATCTCAGTCCTGCAAGTGTGTTTGCATCTAAGCATTTGCGTTACTTTAGGAGAGGAAAGGAAAGACCACAAACTGCTCGCTCCTACATGAGAACAATTATCCCATGGATAGCATGGGGCTCTTCACGCCAGGACGAGCTGAGCAGTCAGTGTAAAGCCCTCACAGTTTAATCCCTCAAGCTCTGTCAAAGCAGGTCAGTCACACCAGAGGGGAACGAGCATGGATATCATGATTGTCAATCCCATGCACCGTTCATTAGACCGAGCATTTAAGTGGAATTGCTTTCTACAGACAACTGTCTCCCAACTGCGAGACTCTCAGTTGAAAACTGTGCAAAAGCCAAGCTGTCAAGGTATCTCCACTTGGAGATTAACCCTGTCTGAGGGGCTATGGAGGCAGATAAGTCATCTTTATCTCCGGCACCAGCTATCTTACTGAATGTGGATTCAACACGGGGGAAAGGCACTGCCACCCCTCCAAACAGCCAGCTCCCAGCCCAGCAGCACAGATGGGGATTTAGGCTACAATGAGAGGAGTTTCCCAGCCCAGCCTGGGGGACCTGCACAGCCCTCATCCCTTGCTTGTCCTCATGTGTCACCATAAAGCAGGCTGGGGCTGTCCATGGGAAACATGAGGAAACAACGCTGAGAGTCATGTTAGGAAGAGGAAAGCACCGACTGGGGAGCAGCCAAGGTCTGACCTTTTCTCTTGGTGCAGTGGTAGATCTGGCTGTGCTCCTGGGAGATCGGGTAGGGGTTGGCAGGCGGGAGCAGGTCCTGGGAGGTGCTCGACACCCCATTCTCGCACTGGTACTGGGAGCCCAGATTGGAGGAGGCAGAAAGGACCCTGGTCTCACCACTGAAGGGGCTGTGATTCGAGGACACTTTTTGTCTCACTGTGCTCCTGGGAACAACCGGGTACTCTTTACTAAAAGCAAAGAAACAAACAAACAAAATATCAGAAAGTCAATTAGTAAATAGATCATAAATAAATGGATTAATAAAGAAAGGCAGCACATTAGCGTCATGATGCTTGTTCAGACTCTCAGGCAGAGACATCCCTCCCAGGAGGCTGCAGCCCAGTCACACTTCATCCATGCTGCACTCTAATATTTCACTTTCCTTTCAGTATCTTTCCCTTTAGATTTGTGGCTCTTCCACCACAATTGCTTTTTACATCCCTACATACAACAGATACATGCAGTCACAGCAAAATACACAAGATTTATATTTACATATTTTAGTAGCACTTATAAAATACATACTGTTTGTATTGTATATGTGGATGTGCACGTGTGCACATAAAAACCACATTTCTGCCAAGCTGTCTTGGAGATGGATTAAATATTTAAGTCTGCTTATTCCCCCTTATGGTATTTGTCCCTGTTTATTTCCCCAGGGTCTGCAAGGTTGGTTGTCCTGGATGGGGGATCCCTGGAGCAGAAAACAAGCTCCACTTCAGAGCACTTAGGAAAGAGAAAGGAATAAATCACCAAGTCCTGCTGCACACCAGAGCTACACACCTCAGCGGAGCCAGGCTACGAGGGGGAGCACTAATGGAAAGTCTGGTTCATTCCCTTGCTCCGAAATCTGGTTTGAAGCAGGGATGCTTTGCCAACACTGGCTGGAAATCCCCTCTCCTGCAAGACCCTATAGTGTGTTTTGGAGACATGGCCAGACAAGACTATTCCTGCTCTGCAGGAGAGAGAAGTGAAGCTCAAAAAGTTCTCAGAGCCTTCAACCAAGGTGCAAGCCTCCCCCTGAGCTGCCTCCAAGACTGCTGGGAGCTCCCTGAACCAAGCACTTGCTAAAACGCCTAAAGACCAGGTAGTACAGCAACACCTCACGAAGTACCACCAGGCCTAGAGCAGCCATGACCCGGAACCAAGATTCCAATGCAAGCTTTCTTCTTCAAGGCTATAACAATCAAACCAAGCTGCCTTTGAAGTACTCTACTCGTCTGCCCAAAATCATTCTGCTGAAGCAAGGACAGATCCTTAAATCCCACCAACAGGCTCACCTTCCATGTGAAGGAGGAGCCCTGAATCTCCAATCAAACCCTTTAGAGAGGACCTATCACTGTAGGAACTCAGATCTTATATACAAAGTTTAGCAATAGCATTTACATAAACCTACTCAACAGCAAGGAGCGTCCATCCAAACCCCTCCTGTGGTGGCTGCCAGAAACATCAGCAACCGGGCTGTAATGGAGGGGAAACTCACCCAGGAGCTCAAACCCAAGTAAATGTCTCTCTCCTTGTGCCACAAAAGCTTTCCAAACCCCAGCCACTGGTGGCTTGCCAAAGAGAACCCATTCCAAAGGTGGGGTTTCTTCCCCTGGAAGCACAGCAGCTCCTCCCCACAGGAGCATGGCTTTCCACCCACTTGGATGGGCTGAAGAGGCATCTTTTTCTCCTGAAGTCTAAACTGTGCACAAGAACAAGAGAGAGATGGACTGGGAGGAAACAGATTTATCCCTCAGACACACAAGACAGCGATGGATGCCAGGGTATGTGGTGGGCTTCAAAGGACCTCTTTGCCTGTGGACACCCCACACCAACATTTCCACCCTAGTAGCTCTTGCTGCTGGAGGGCATCTTTGGTGGCTTTTCAGGAAGGTCAATAGCTGTGGCCTTCAAAACTCCTATGGCCTTCAAACCTTCTAGGTTCTAGGGGATTTTCCAGCCCTACCACGTCATGTTCTGGAGCTGCCTGCTCTTTCACACAGCAATACACATGGAAATAATACCAGCACGACACCCCAAAGCTGCACCCCCACCATGTTGCCCTTCTAAGGGGACAATCCACAAGGAGATGATACATGAACCTTGCCCTCATCTCTCCTCCCATGCTGCATGGATCGACTGGTTCCTTCTTCCTCATCTCTAATACTACCGACACCAACTGCCCCAGGAAACAGCAGAGCCTCACTATTACTTTCAGTGGGTACCTCTGAGCTACGATGGAAGAGAAGGAGGAACATACCATGACATGATGCCACACCATGTTCTCAGTGGCTTTTCTGGAGGATGTAGAAGTGATTGTTTTCACAGTTTCTCCCTGCTTCAGTGCGGAAGAATTGGATGTCTCCTGGGGATGTGGGATTAGGTCTGCATGGGGGTTTCTTACAGTAAATTCTCACAGTAGATCACAGGGACCCCATAGGTATCAGACTCTCACTGTGTGAAGCACCACACGAACACTAAGAAGCCATCCTCATCCTAGATACTTCTCACCTAAATCAACACTTCCTCTGAGCTGAGATGGGTGAAAAAATAACAACCTGATTGGTTTTTTTCGATAATACAAGTTTTCTTTCCATAAAGGAGCTGTATGCCTGAAACAGCAATATTTTCACCCTGAGTGCCAGCATAGGTGATGTCAGGATCCCACATTCCCATTGTGCACTGGGGACCGAATTCCTTTCAGACTGCTTTTCCCAGGGGACACAAAAGCCTCCATAAGCATAGAGAGCTGTGGTTTTCTGCAGGAGCTACAGTGGGAGCAGGGAGTCACATTGGAGAGGGAGCAGGTTGGAGAAACCAAGTTTCCAAACAGCAGTTCCCAGGAGGTATCGCTATGACTTCTCTCCAGACTGAAATATTTCCATTTCAGTCAAAACATGTTGGGTGCTATTTTTGCCAAAAAAATCTATTATTTGAGGAGGGAGAGGAAGGAAAGTATTTTCTAACCAAATAGCTCGAATATTCTCTTTCTTTCAGCTTGCTATTTTTCTGTACACAAAGGCAGTTATCTCTGTATTCCTACCTATTCCTTCCTTATAGGGGCTCTAATAAAGAGATATCTTTGGTGCCTTGTAAAGCAACATCATAGAATCATAGAACAGTTAGGGTTGGAAAGGACCTTAAGATCATCCAGTTCCAGCCCCCCTGTCATGGGCAGAGACACCTCACACTAAACCATGGCACCCAAGGCCTTGTCCAACCTGGCCCTGAACACTGCCAGGGATGGAGCATTCACAACCTCCCTGGGCAACCCATTCCGGTGCCTCACCACCCTAACAGGAAAGAATTTCCTCCTTATACCCGATCTAAACTTCCCCTGTTTAAGTTTGAACCCGTTACCCCTTGTCCTATCACTACAGTCCCTAATGAAGAGTCCCTCCTCAGCATCCCTATAGGCCCCCTTGTGCCATCCTGAAATACTTATACTGTTTCTTGAGCCCACTCTACATGGACTGAACAAACCATTTGAATTTGTCCTTCTGTCTTTTAAAATGTTTTGGGGTGCTTTTTTTTTTTGCAGCACCTAAAAGTCACTATTCCCAAAATAGCTGGTCGCAATCCTCAGCCACAGTTTAATGGAATGAAAGGTTTTGTCCACCACCAGCACAAAAATGACTGTTGTGTCCAGAAATTTTGCTATCCCAAAAAACTGTAGCTAAGTAGGAAGGCGGGAAAGAAAAAAAAAAAGCTAAAGCTGGATTTACACAGACAATATAGGAAACTGTCCACACAGCAAGGAAGAGACTGGGCCAGAATGTCAGTTTTACACGGGGGTGTTAATGGGCTTTCCTTTTTTGCATTAAGAATTGTAAAATCAGAAGGAATCAGTTAGGGGAAAGAATTTACAAGGAAGGAAACTGTCGTTGGTCTATTTAAAGTCTGTTGGAAGCTAATGATGAATATTCAGACTGTAGTTGGTGTATTACAATAGCAGAAGGGGACTGGAAGGAAGGGGGGAGCCGCACTGCACAAGGTGCTCTACAGTCTCTGCACCATCAGGCTTCCAGCTGAAGGGCCACCAGGAGAGAATATTACTTGGGTTTTCATTAAACCTTGGGGGAAGAAATCAGGGATGAGTTCCAAGTCTATAGCAAAGGAACTCAGTATGAAACCCAGACCCCCACCTGGCCACGTGTTTCCCAGACCTGTAGGATAGGACATTGGTTCTGCAAAACCATTTCCTACAAACACACACATTCCTCTTTAGAGTTAATAACCCTGACACCAAATGAATCTTTCCTGTGTTTCCCTAGCACTTACACCCAAATCAGACCTCTGCCAAGTGGAGTTAGTGACCTCTGTCTCATTTTCTCTCATTACATCTTCCCCCTGGCCAAATAACATTGTCACCACGATGCACTCAAGAGCTCCGTCTGATCACTTATGCCACAAATTCATATTTAGCAGAGAAACCAAAGGAGCAAATTCAAGGTTTTGTAATCTCAGAGCTGGAAACCTTGTTGGCCCCTGCAAAGTGATAAAAACTGTGAAAAAGTATAAATATAGACCTTCACGGAGTGATATCCAGTCAACTTTCTTGCCTATCAGTGTGCTGCAAGACAGTAATTATTGTCAATGTCTTTTCATGTCAGACTTGAAGTTTCCTAATGTACCAGCCAACGCACAGTGAATGCAGCTGCCAGCCAAAAAACTTGTTCAAAATCTCTTTGAAGATCCATGGTTTATAACCAGAAGCTTCTGCACTGAAACATGCAACCCCTACTGACCCTAAGCAAATTATTGTAGAAGATGCTTCTGATATTTCTGCAACAAAGCCTTATATGCCAAGGCTTTCCAGAGCTGCTGCAGCTCATGGTAACAACTCCAAAAGACTTATTAAATGTCAGGTCCCAAGGAGCACACTGATATCTGTTTGAGGTCAAGATGAGGCATGATATGGAAGAGGATTAACCCACTGTTAGCTGCTGCGTCCTTTGAAGCCCCCAAGCTGGGCACTCTCTAGATCTTGTTCACAATGACAATTCCTAACCTAAAATCTGATCAATCAGTGGCCAACTGCAGCAATTCTCTCCACTCTTTCCAAATTGCCAGAAACCTCCTTAAAATTAACTGCTCCTTGGTCACTCACTACGAAAGGACAAATGTTTGCTGTCCTAGAAGTCCTGTCCCCTTTCACACACCCAGCACCTGTGGATACAGGGGTGCAGAATCAGTCTCCAAT